GCAGATCGATTCATAACCACTACGCTACCAGAGCTCCTTGCATAGGGCTCATTTAAACTCTTACAACTTGACCTAGCAACAATATGAACTACTAAGAAATTATGAGTTATGTAACCAGAACATGTCCAAAGGCAAAGTAAGCTACTAGGGTTATCTTCTCAAAATGTTAACAGGAGGAAAGGATACGAAAAACTCGAGACTGTTCACAGGAGATGAGAGAATAAACTTTAAGGCACAGATTTCAGAAAACATCCTGAAGCCGTATGAAATGGTTACTGTTGAGGGCTATTTAATGGCAGGAAAATGCAGGCTACGTGGGTACCTACAAAGCGGTACAAGATGAAAGCCGGTGGGGATGTGAACACCCCAGCTTTTGGATCAGGAGATGGAGGCGAGGACCCTGACTATCTACCACAGTGTATTTTAATATTGTTTTAAAGTACCTTGTTGGCACATTATTCTCTCTACGTCTGAAGTATTGCACTGTGGCTGTTATTACATGCCGTGAAGTCAGTTAGACTCATAGTGACCCTGTATAGCGTATCCAAGGCTTTTTGGGGAGCAGAAAGCCTCATCTTTCTCCCACTGAGCAGTTGGCAGGCTCAAACTGTGGAACTTGTGGTGTGCAGTCTAGTGCTTATCACATGGAACCACCGCACTCCCGACTATGTATTGAATTGTTGTTGTTGTTGTTGTTAGGTGCCATCGAGTCAGTACCGATAGACTATATTTGGCCATCCTGGCCTCCAAGGAGCACTCTGGCTGCACTTCTTCCAACATGGATCTATTAGCTCTTTTGGCAGCCCATGGCACTTTCAATATTCTCCTTCAACACCCTAACTCAAAAGCATCAATTCTTCTATGGTCTTCCTTATTCACTGTCCAGCTGTCACATGCATATGAGGTTACTGAAAATACCATAGCTTGGGTCAGGTGCACCTTAGTCCTCAAGCTGACATCTTTGCTCTTCAATACTTTAAAAAGGTCTTGTGCAGCAGATTTGCCTAATGCAATACGTCGTTTGATCTCTTGACTGCTGCTTCCATGAGTGTTGATAGATGATTCAAGAAGAATGAAGACCTTGACAACTTCACTCTTTTCTCGATAAGAATGTTGTTTACTGAACAGTCATTAAGTATTTTAGATGTTCTTTCCCCTTAGGTGTATATTGGCTGAGCTGTGCTGGGTGCCCAATAGACTGAAAGCCGTTTTCCGAGTTGCTTTTCTGACATAGTTTCTAAATTTTTTACAAAAGCACCATGGGCACTCCAAAGTCTGTGGGAAAATTCTGTTATCTTGATTCCATTTTTCCGCACACCTTTTGAAGCCCCCTCATATTTTAACTCAGAAAAATGATGTTTTTTAAAAAAGAATAAGCTTTTATCAAGTGCTAACTGTTTAAAGAAGAAGAAGAAAAAAAAAAATCTAACACAATACTTTATTAGTTCCTTCTCCATGTAACAGTCCTGTGTGAGGAGGTGGATGCTTGGCCAGACATTGTAGGTGTGTACCATTGTGTCAATTCCAACTCATAGTGACCCTGTATAGGGTTTCTGAGGAGCGGTTGGTAGGTATGAACATCCAATCCTGTGGTTAGTAGTCCAGTGCTTACCCTACAGCACCACACCTGAGCCTAATTAAACCTAACAAGTGCTGTTATCCTCATGTGCCCAGCATAGTGTGGCCTGTGTAGGAGATGTCAACTACAGAAGAATCACAAACATTCTCTTCAATCTGGCTCTTCAGAAAAGGCAGAGTGTTAGCATGCGTAGTGTCCTGGCAGAATTCCCCTTCCCACCACACTACTATAAAACCATGCTGCACTTGCATACCATGAAGCCATAACCATCCGAGAATGAGCTATATGCAATTTATCACTTTAAAGCACTCAGTTTTTAAAAATACGTCTGGGTAGTCATAGTCCTAAAACATTATAGACTCTGCTTTAATAAACAAATACCAAGAAAGTGCCTTACCAGATATTGTCACCAAGACATTCAAGCCTTCAAGGACATCCATTTGTTGGAATCGTCTTCGGTTGATAAGAGGATAGACTTTCCCTTGGCCACTTCTGTCCAGCAGCATCAGGCCACTCTCAGTACCCACTAACAAATTCACTCCTGTTTCAAAGGACACAAAAAGCCTCATTTTATGTTCTGCTGGCTTGTATGGAAAGGGCGAACTAAAAAAGACTGCAGTTTATCACAACCAAACTTGTACCAAATCATCATTATTATGATCTAGAAGGGTGACGGACAAATATTTCAAAACAATAATAATCGAACATTGAAGAAGCCTCACTTTCTTTGATAATCCATCAATTTCCAGTTCTTCCTCAGTTCCCCCACAATGTTAAAAGATTCCCCACATGCTAAGCACATTAGAGATTTAGTCAAACCTTCAATTGATACTACAGCCTTACTTCTTGCTTCATCAATTTTTTTATTCTGACCAAAAACTTCAGGAATGAGCTAGCTGTGCTATTCTCATTGAGTAGCTTGGTTTTTTTTTGCTGTAGTTCCCCTACCTGCCCCGAAACATATTATTTTGTTTTTAAATTCTTTTGACCCAATTACAAGTAGTAGTATCTGGACTGTTTTACTTTATTTAATCATTTTATTAAATAAATGTTGTGATGGTACTTCCTGAAGCTTTCCTAAGAAGACTGTGATTTTGGTTAGGCAGTTTTCCCCCAGTTCTTTCTTTTTTTTTTTAAGTTTTTATTGTGAATTATGTGTTAGTTTACATGTGTGAACATTATCTTTACATTCATCCTATCGTTTCCCTCCATGCATCATCGAACAACCAAAGGTACACCCCCACACACCTGTCTCTGCACCCCTGCCAGCAAACAGCCCCTCTCCCTCCTTGAATCCAGAGTCCCCAGCCGCTCCTTCTATCCACATCATTGTCATCGTCTCCACCTTCATCCCTAGTGTCACTGCCTCCCTGGACAGGGTATGGTCTGTCTTCCACGGAATGGCTAGTGGGTTCAAGCTGCCAACTTTCAGGTAAGCAATTGAGCACAAATTGTTTATGCCCACTAGGGTTTGTCAAATGGTGATGGAAGTTCTAGACCCACTGAGACAGAAGTTCTAGACAGTAGCATGAGTCAACTTGTACCAGTGTCATGACTTCCAGCACCCCCATTCCTGCTGCTGTGACTTCCGTGGGCACACACGCTAGCATTTACTGGGACCTCTGCCTTATCATTCTTCTTTCGTGCTGCAGACAGTACATCGGCTTCTCCCTCCACTCGGTTCTCAATGGCTTGGAGGTTTCTAACTAGACGGCGCTAAGACTGAGAGAGCTACTCTGTATTCTTTACTGGAGCAGACAGCCATGTCTTTCTCCCATGGAGTCATTGGTGGGTTCGAACTGCTGACCCTTTGGTTAGCAGTCAAGCACTTAATGACTGATCACCAGATACGTAACAAATCAAACCGGTTGCCTAAAGGGCAGATTAGAACTGTTTCATAGGATTAAAGGGCCGACCTATTTACACAAGCAGACTGCCACATTTTCTTCTTGCAGAGTGGCTGGTGGGATCAAATAGCCTACCTTGCCATTAGCAATCAAGCGCTTAACCAGTGCATCCCTAGACAGCAAGCAATCCCCTCAAAGAAAGAACTACCCTTGGTCCTCCTGCTCTTCAATTTCCTCAACATATTTTACAGGTGACCTCACCTGGCCTGCCTGGGCTCGCCTGACTATGGTGCTATCCTGGTCTTCCCTTTGTTCTCCAGTTCTTGTACCAAAGGTCTCCTTCCTTGTCCCAGGCATAGTCTCTGTTTCTTCAGTGCGGATGTCTCCTATCTTCTGAAGACTCACACCCCTACTTTTGCTCTGTTAGAACCTCTGAACCAACTGGGAACTGGAATCCCATACCCTGTCTCTAAGCTTGTCTACACGCTACCAATTTCTATGGAAATTCCAACATTTGCCTAAACCCTCTCCCCATCAACAACTCTTCATGAGGGCTCCAGCAGTCACCAAGCCCAAATAATGCCTCCCTCTTTCCTATCGCCTCCTTTCCCTTTCCTCACAGACTTTTATGATCTTATACCAGAAGGATAGAGATGCTCACTGAAATGGTTACAACAGCCTCTAAATTCTTAGATTCTGAGGATCAAAACAGTCCCACTCTCCCTAAAACACTCATGCCACATCTTCAACGAGGGCACACTCCTGGCAGCAGAAGGTCAAAAACAAACTACCCCCTCTTCATTATTCACTGACTGCCCCAAATCATTGTTGCTGTCATTTATGACCTTTATCACCAAACCACATCTGTAACTCGCAACACAGATTACCTTCAATTTCTAGGGGATTATGCAAAAGCATACATTGGTACTGATTCCCCACCCTGGCTACTAAACTCACTGAAACAGCTAATAAAGGATTTCTGCAATTACTAAATAATTGCTCACTCAGTATATTCATGAAGATTGAACGAGAGGGACAAACAGGATGCTCTCTCTTGAATCACGTGATCTGTTTTTACCACACACACACACACACACACATACATGCATGCACACCCTCTTTGGAGAGACACAGCTCAAGCACTGTGAAGGTAACAAAAGAACCCCCCTTCTAGGCCCTCTCAGCTCTGTGCCTGTTGCGTGTTGAATAGGTTGGAGGACAGTACTTACCTCAACAATCTTTGTGAGACAACTAGAAGTACCTTTTGAAGGCCTGGGGGGAAAGTGGGCCATTTAGAGCTTATGCTATACCAACTTGACTTACAAACTGCACCAAGTAACAGAGTGCCAGGTACACAGTTACAAATACATCCACAGGACTGTGACCATACAAGGAGTCCCCAAAAAAGACAAGAAATGTAACAAAATGATGAATTTAGAGACAGGCATTAGAGCTTTCGATCTGGTCTGATCCAAATCCCCTATTAGAAATCTAACATTAGGCACACCATGCAGGTCTCTGTCTCTGTCCCTTGTAGGAACAGTTCACGTTTTACAAGTGCCCCATTGTGCATTCTGTTCCAGTTACACCTCTTGTGCACCAGAAGTGCTTTCTACCATTATTTTACTAAGATAGTTGGTTAAGAGTATGACATTATCTATGACACAGCTCCAGAAAATTTGAAGGAAGACTCTGGAATTTTGGAGAAAAGGGAAGAATCATCTACCTGCTTCCCATCCAGAGTAACTTTTTAAAATAATCTGTATATAGAAATTTGTACCAACTCTCTAAGACACAATTCAAAAGTACTTCTATGAATAACATAAGGACAAAAAACATATACAAATATGCATATGGCTTCTTTTGTCATCTGTAATAATTAAGGTTTTTTAATATGAAACCTTGGAACTAGCTCTATCCAATAGAACTTTCTGCTGTGATGGACATGTTCTTCACCTACACGTCCAATACAGTAGCCAGTGGCCACATGAGGCTATTGAGTAGTTGTTGTTATTGTTAAGTGCCACTGAGTCAGTTTCGACTCACAGCGACCTCGTACAGGGTTTCCAAGGAGCAGCGCTATATATACCAGGACTCCATTGTGCACTTGAAATGTGGCTAATATGACTGAACAACAAAACAAACCAAAAAATATATGTAGCTAGTGGTTACTATAATGGAGAACTATGAAAATACTGTTAAAAATCAGGTAACATCATAGCTTTGCAACAGAACACATATATAGCCTTACAGTTTTTATGGCTTCTTGCTCTAATAAGCAAAAAGCTCTTCATAACAATAACAACATGTTGTGGTTGTTATTGGTGCCACCAAGTTGGTTCTAACCCAGAGCGACCCTGTATAGACTTTCCAAGGAGGTAATCTACAGGTTCAAACCAACTTTATAGTTCAAAACATTACCCTGAAGCGCCACACCTGGACTCCTCAATATGTACACACACACATACATATATATCAAGTCATTACTTACTGCTAATAAAAAAAATCATTCTTAAAAACCCATCTTTAGGATAAAAGAAATTAAATTTTAACATATATAAAAACCTCAATGATTTCCATATAAATTTGAGTTTGGCCACTTCTGATGTTGCCCTACCTCCCCCTAAGCATGCAGACTTTGTTGCTGTTAAGTGCTGTCGAGTTAATTCTCACTCATAGTGACTCTGTATAGGGTTTCCAGGGAACAGCTGATAGGTTTGAACCAATGACCTTCTGGTTCGCAGTCCAATGCTTAGTGCCACATATTCAGTGCATCCCCAACATACCTAGGTGAGTTGATTTAAAACGGATTAAAAGTACACTTGCAGAAAAAGTCACTGACAGAGATGCTGCCAAAGAGCCCATCCCAAAATTCTTCTCTGTATCCTACTTCGGTACTTCCCTTGTCAATCTTCAGTATCGAGCAGCTAAGAGACACCTGTGTCAACAATCTACTAATAACAACTAAAAAACAAGAGGCTTTTGGAATCTGTTATTTGTAATTTCCAAAACTAGATAACCTTGGAAGCATGTATGTCCGTATTTTACAATTAAGAATAAATGAAGGAATCAAAGATAAAGCTACAAAATCTCTTCATATTTAAGGTGACTTCAAAAAGTTTGTGGAAAAAATTCTTAACAGTTTAACTTTATTTTCCCACTAACTTTCTGAAGCCCCTCATATGCAAAAACTGCAGATGTTCTGGCATTTACAGCTGACCTTCTAATTCTCTACTTTATGTTTCCAAGAACTTTGAGGATTTTTTTAAGTACCAAGTGCTAACAGTCAAAAGAATACAGTCATTAGAAAATGACAATCTTGAAAATTACGGACCTATGAAAAAATGGAGTTACACATCACAATAATTTTTTATTCAATGTTTTTTTTAACTGCTAGCTGCTACAAACAATTAAAATTTGCAGTGCTTACAATAGTCTGCCCCTCCACATCCCGGCCATTCTAAATGTTCACAGGTATGATACCTGCTCTAAGAACTGAAAGTGTAAGAAATGGCTAAGACTGCTACAGTCCATGATTGAAAACTTTTTTTATAGTCTGACAGAGTATGATATTATAGGTAGAGCACCAAGGTAACGTACGGCAAATTCATTATGAATGTAACAATGGATACATTTTATGTTAAAAAAAAAAAAAAGCAGTTGAAAAATGCTGTTTCCCAACAGGGAAAAATCT